CAAATGCTTGTTGTTCATGATGTCATGAAGCAATAGTTTTTATATCAAATTCACATCAAAATATTTAACACTAAGAAATTGTCGTCATATTTCTTTCTATTATTTTTGGAATAGACCATTTCCATCAAGATTTCCAGGCATTCAGCGCTATACTCAGCTATAATATTCTTATGCCTGAATAAGCGCTGAAAGCTTCATAGATAGAAGTGTTATACATAAGATCACTCTGATATACATAGAGGAAGAACACCGAACCATATAATAAAAAAATTTATCATTCTCATTATACACTGAGCAGGGTATATTAAGTTTCCCACGAAGTTTGTAATATCCAAAAGGAAACGTTGGAAACCATTTAAAGTATATAAATCATGAGCGTGAAGAGTTGAGTCGATTCAGCCATTTCCGATTCGCGTACTAGCCTCTCAGTTTTTGAGATATCGATCCGAAATTTTGCTCTCAAATTTCTATTTTCAATGTGCTGCTCATTTGTCGAAACCGCAGATATCGGTATAAGATATAGCTGCCATACAAATTGATCGATCAAAGTCAAGTTCTTCTATGTTGTGTAAAAGTTTTTTATTTGACAATATATGTTCAGGAAACTTGGTATGTTTAATTATCCAAAACAACGGTATAATCTTCGAAAAAAAATTTCAGATCGAAGCACTAAAGCATATAGCTGCCATTCAAACTAAACGATCAAAATCAAGTTCTTGTATGAAAATCTTTATTATTTGACAAGATATCTTTACGAAACTTAGTAGAAGTTACTGTTCGTTTGTAATCTCCGAAGAAATTATTCATATTGGATTGCTGGAACATATAGCTGCCATTCAAACTGACCAAATAAAATCAAATATAATTGTGGCAACGGTGGTTCAATCAGTTTTTTGTCGCGGGCGGCTGTAGTAAGACATGTACAAATGATCACGAAAATATTCACTGAAAGCCTTCAAAAACTTTTAATTCAACAGATGTCAAAACAATAAGCGCATGCGCTGCAAATTAAATAAATGCCAACAATTTTGAAAAGCAAAATAAGTTTGTAATTATTGTTGTTGCTATGAAACATAAGAAGCTCAAGGGTTTTGCATACAATTGAATTAAGAGCTATAAAAAAGGCAGGGTGATAAAAGGGAGGGGCCAGGTCACGGCACGGTGTAAAGCAATAGCGCGGCGCTTCTGCAATGAAGACGTAGGCGGATAAGAGTCGCGAGTACATATGTACAAGTGGCTTTCAAAGTTGATCATGTACATATGTATATTTGTGCATGTTTGTACATATGTGTGCATATGTAATAGTGTTTGTACAACGCTATTTTTATTATTGTCATACGTTTGTAGCAATATAACTTGCTATGAAATCGCTTGTAATTGATGTGATTGAGATTGATTGTCAACTAAGTCCAAGCGCATAACAATTAGTTGCCCACAGACATACCTTTACATACTCAGACAAACTCGTACACACACATAAGCGCGTGTGTGCAAACAAACCGCAATTTATCGACATATTTGTGCATTTGTTTGAAAAAAGTTATTCATTTGTGATATATTGTATGGTGAAAATATCGTTAAATTGTTTGAGTTTTTTTCATTCAGCTACAGTTAAAACACTGTTATTGCTATTGTTGCTGTGTTTGTAAATGAGTTTGATTGTTCGTTTGACAGTCGCAATGTGCTACCCATTTTTATTATGTTTAGCTGCTTTGAAAGGGTTTTTAATAGCTTTCAATATTTTGTTCATTTTGAAGTGTTTATATGGCTATTTTGTCTGTATGTATGTGCATGCATGCATTCATTGTCCGATTTTACGTTGTTCATTTATTATTGCTTTCAAGTTGATTTTACTGCAGCTTTATTGCATTGTCTAACTTTTGTTTGGGTGCATTTGAATGGACAAAAAGAGCGGCATAACGGCGCCAGCGTCTAATAATTGTTAATAGAAATGCTTTCAGCTTATTTTATAGACTATTCAACGAAATTAATATTTATTGCCTTTGAGTTTGACTTTTGAGACTATGAACTTACCTGAAATATTTCTGTAAATATACACATTCAAATGAGAAGAAGAGAAAAACTCTAAATATTATATAAAACTCTCAAAGTATTAAATTATTTTACATAAACATATTTGTATATTATGGTTATCAGATTCTGAAGTATTGTCCTCTTAAACTATTTTATATAAATTATTATGTAATTAATATCTCTTAATTTATGACAGCAAATACGTTTAGTTAAATAAAAAATTTATAATAATAAGTTATTTTCGCAAAACAGCGACAGTAACCGCTTACAAAAATTCGTATTATACATGGCTACCGGCTACTAATCACAGATAACTGAGAAAACAGTCACCATTTTTTGTTGTTGTTTGATATTTTCAAATGTATGACGCGATAAACTTTTACTAAAAAGAAATCACTAAAAAATTATTTACCCAAATTAGCGGCAGTATAGTAGCAGCTAGGCAAGCGTATACCAAAATTTATATTATGCATGGCTACTGGCTGCTAATCACTGACAACTGTGAAGACAGTCACAATTTCTTGTTTAAAATGTGTTTCTAACATCTGTAATTATAATATACAGAAATGTCAAAGTCATACAGTATATTGCAAGTTTTGCTGTAGAGTGTCAATACGTTATATATTTTAACAAAATATATATTTTTATGACCAATGACAAAGATAATTCAAATACAAAACTGAGTAAAAATTTATACAAAACCGTAAATACAATAATTTCTGCGCAAATGCGGTATAAGAATATTTATTGATCTTTATAAGCTACCAAATGCTTATTTTCAAGGCAACACTTGATAAAAGTAGGTTTTCCGGATTCAAAAATATTTCATCTTAAGTGATTCTCACTGCACTTTCTAACCAAACGCCTGCTAAAAGTTGTAAAAATTCTTATTTTGTTCAAGCTTAGTAAAAATGTATAATATGTTTATGATCGACGTCGCTAGTCTTATCTAATGAAATGAATTATATTTATAAATTAATTACGATTTGAGTCACGTAAATATCAAGCGTCATTCAAATGATTAAAACTGACCCCGCAATCAATCAAATTGTGATTGAATTATTAATTGACGTGTTTTCATATTACAGCAAATAATGTTTGTAAATATAGTTGTATATGACTTAAGGCATGAGTATTTCATATAAGAAAATTGATTAGGGTTTTATAAACGTACAGGAGACGCCATTTTATATGTTGATATGTCAACTTTGAATAACTTTGGAAAAAAAAGCGCGAAATTTTGTGCAAGAATATTTGTGTTGAGATCGTCGATGTTGGTGTATAGTATAAAATAGCCCCATATAAAAAGAGACATATATAGTCAAGTCGGTAGATCACGTAAGATCAGAATGTCTCTTTTTAGCATAAGACTTTATGCCATATTCTAAGCGACATGGATAGTCACATAGCAATATTATAAATGGGAACAGTTTAAATCATGCTCAAAAAGTACTTAAAAAGATGCCACAATTGAAAATGCTGCCAGTGACGTCAAAAAGACGTATACGATATCATTGATTATACAATATTTATACTTTCGTTTCAGCGCGTTGCTTCGTTATGAAGCTTATGAAATTACGAAGAAGCGTTTTTAATTTTTGAAGGCATGCCGGATTTCCTATGTATATTTGAAGCTCCATAAGTCTGGGAATGAAGAGAAGAGAATGCCGCCCACCTTTGGGTGAAATCCAAATTTGGAGGATTACATTATCTCCACAGCCACGCCTACTACTCATACGCAACATTTTTAAAATCCATCTGATTATTTTATTTGACTGCATATAGCTAGGTATTCCATCTCCTGTCTAAAATTTGTCGAAGTCGGACAGTAACTTTTCAAGCCCCCAGATATTCCAGGTACCACAGATCGTATAGATAACTGTTTAGCGAAAATATCGGTCACTCACTGAGATCTTGTATTGAAATTCGGAAATAATGATTTTATAATAACATCATGCCCTTGCGTCAAAAAGGGGTAAAATTGGGAGAATACTTTCCCTATCCCCCATATCTAAGAATTTTCAAACATTGGGTTAACTTTATACCTTAGACGAGTATATTTGTCAATATGCGAGTTATCCTAATAAAACTCTAAAAATATAATTTTACGGAACATTTCTCAATAAAAAGTTTTGCAACAGCTGTAAGCGTTTCCTGTCTTTGATCTTTGCAAATTGCGTTACTTAAAATGTTCGGTTGTATCCGATCTTATCTTGCTTACTTGTTAAATTAGATATTGCCAACTCAGTGCTTTAATTTGTCTTCGTATATTGAGCTCTTTCAACCTAACAAATAAATTAAAGCCGAAAATATGCTTCTTTGACATACTGTAATTGATATATTTGAATGAAAAAATTTAAAAAAAATAGAAAATTTTCAATATACATACAAATATAACATGTGCTATGTAACTAATGATCTTTGACGTCCAAATTATGCTCTGAACACAAAGACGACGGCACGACGCGAATGCACGCAGCGAAATTTTGTGGTTGACAAATGTCGTCTTGAAGCCAGCTTCTTGAACATTTTGAAGATAGCAGCGACATATCAAATAGCTGTTATACACAATTTCATTGTTGCCGTACTAAAATCTTTCACTTCAATAGAATTTGAATAATTTGTTCAAAGTGAAATTTTTTGTCCAAAAAAATAAGTAAAAAGTTCTATTATTTTTTTAAATTTTTAATTGTAATTACAAATAATATATCGGCGCTATTTTATAATTCTATTGGTAAAATAACATTAGATTTGTTAGGGCTGCCCATGGTCGCCGGCATAATTAGAACGGGTTTTAATTAAGCGACAGCGACAACTGCAAGCCTGCTGCCGTGAAGTCGTGCTGCTGTCTAAATAAATGTGGCCATAAGAACGTGTGTATATTAATTTTTGACAAATGCTGTCTATCGCTAGCCGTCGTCTATGTGTTCGGCACTTTATAGTTAATATGCCACGCATGTACTTACCGCATTCGGTGCGGCCAGATAATCTGGCCGCAAATATTGATTGCTGGATTGCAGCAATTTATTGTAATTTGTTAAATCCACTTTGAGGCTTTGGTTGTAGACGCTTTACGAAACGTTTAATATTTTGAACCTACGAATTTCAAACTGTAGCGGTGTCGTAAAAATAAGTGGCAACTCTATGCGAATAACAAACAACTGCAAAAATGCACAATACTGACGGGAGAGCACGATGAGCAGCGCAAATGAGCACGAGAGCCGCAGTATGCGCACGCGTACGATAAAGACGAGTGTGTGCGTGCGTTGTTGCCTGCTGCTATGCTATTTTTACTGCCACCACTGTTGCTGCTGTTGCTCTTTGCTTTCGAAATGTAAGCGTTCAACGACAAGACAACAGTTGTTGCACGCTTGTTATTAGAGTGTTGATGGCGCATGCGCATGCGTGTGATAAATGCAACGCGCTTTGTTGCCAGCTGCCACGCTGTTTGCAGCAAATTTGCAATAACGGTATTTTTACTTCTGCTACACTTGATAAATGTGTTTTAATTAGCAATTGCAATGTGTTTATTTCACCTTTTTGCTGTTGCTCTTACAATTAATTGTTTGTGTTGTTTTTCTCACGCACGACTGCACCGTAATTTTTTTCGTTTTATATTTACAAATGCAGTTTATTGCGTGTTTATTTAATATAATATTATTTACATTTGTTTTGTTTTACTGAGTATGGCATACAAATTACGAATTTTTTACCGCTATCATAGAACATCACTTTTTTGCTGCAACATAAAAATAACAATAAATTTTATAGGTTTTAATATAGATATGTATATTATATATGTATGTACGTTTGTGTGTGGCTTTATGACTGCAAGCACATTTCTGCGAGAGGAGTGGGTGGCGGTGCTTGTTGTGCGCGTTATTAATTTATATGAGCTTTCATTTATTTTACACAAGTTGCACAATAATTTCGTCACGATCAGTGTGTTCGAGTTGTTTGTTGTTGCTATTGTTGCATTTGCAGTTTGCATTTATATATTGCTGCAACGTTTGGCTATATTTCATCGCCACTGTGACGACGCGACGCAGCAGACGGCATTGGCTGACTGACGTGCGGCTGCTTCACAATTATTTGCACTAATTGAGCAATAAATTATAATTTGTTGTATAAACTTTTGTTGCAATTTCAGTTATGCAGTTGTTTATGCATATTAAATGAATTTAAATCACGATATGTAGTTGTAGTTAGTGTGTTCATACGCAGGGTGCCGTTGGTAGCGCTGAGAAGCCTATAAATTATCTAGGTTAGGTTTTCGCGGTAGAAGTTTTCAGTATACATTAATAATTGTACATAGGTTTTTGGTATGAAGTTATAAAAGATATATTCGTACAATTTTATTTAAAATTCCGAATATATTAACCCATTCTTGCATTTTTATTTACCGTAATTAACAATTTTTTATTATTAATAGTACGGTAAAGTTATGTCGCTGAAACAGTTATCCAAATTTCATTACTAAGTTTTACAAGATTTCATCTAGAATAAACTTTCCTCTCCTTATAAAAGTTTTAGCAACAGTTATGTCAAGTCAAATCTGTCTTCACACGTGAACTCTTTTGTCGTCCAGACCGGTTTTTTATAGGCGAGGAAACGACGCTCGGTTGGCACGCTTTGGCTTCTTCTTCACAACAGTACGCAATACGACATTTCCTTTTATTTTGAAATACTTTTCATGGTTGCAATAGCGCTCAGTTTCAAATGAATATTTTCATTATTTTCGGAAATATTAATATCAAAATATTTAAGAAAAAGTGAATATGAAATGAAATGGATTAAATTCTGCTAATCAAAAATATTTTTGTGCACCGCGCACTTGAAGCGTATAAGAATTTGAGAATGTAATATGAAAGGAAATGCAGAAAATCCGACTCACGTTGTCCAAAAGAGAATTTGCCGATAATTAGCGACAAAAGAGTCTTCGTGTGAACGGATTCTAAGTTAAAAATATACAGTGAGATTACTTCTTATCAGAAGCTTTGGATCTGTAATTAACAGAAAAGCAAGAATTGTCAATATATTAAATATTTAATTGAAAATTAAAATAAATATTTCAATCTGAAATGGCTTGATCTGTAATCTTCATTTGAACGAAATCAAAATAAAATAGAACAGAATACTATACTACATAATAACTGAGATCGCATTGTGAAGGATATTCGTTGCATTAGAAAGTCAAAAAAAATTTTCTACAGTACTTCTTGCTTTTAGGCCTCTATGCATAAATATAATGTTTTAATTTGTCGAGTATTATTTATAAACTACAGTCAGTGCAGAATATACTCTTTTGGTATCATAAAAATTCGCTCCGAATATCATGAGTTCTATATTAATCTATTAAAAACACTGTGTGTGAGTTTCAGCTGATTAAAAATCCAGGCTTGGATACCCATTGTTCAAACGGAGTGTGACTTATTAGCTAGGTAGGTAACTAGTAAGAGTCTTTTGTTATAAAATCAAGTTTATTTATCACAGCAATTTATTTTTTGGGAGTGAAGAGAGTCGATAATAAAAATTCCCATGCTTGAAAATAAATTATATGTTCTGCACTCGGCGACGTTAGTTTTGTTATGTATAATATATAATAGAAGTTAGTTAGGAAGTGGTTAGATATCTATAGCATCTGCGCTCTTAAAGGTGTTATTTTCAACAATTTGTCTTTATATGATAAAATATGTGATATGATATATTAGGTGGATATACAAGTAGTCAGCGCGAGTTAATAATTGATACTCCAATCTCTTACGCAAACATAGATTTTTCTGAACTGGATTTAGTGAGAGCATACCACATAGAGCACTGTTATATAATGAGAGCTTATATGCTCTCTCAATTCAAAATTTTTACTCGATGGTTTGTGGTCTTACTTATTTAGAATATTTCTGCGGTCATGTTACATATTCTACAAAGCATTTGAATCGGAGGTTACATAAAATTCTTGACAATTAGTTATTGCCTGAGCATAATCATAGCGCTGCTAACATTCAAGATGAAAAATTGGTCGATTACTTTCAAGAGAGAACCACCAGCGTAATTTTTTTCACCTCCTAAGTGTTTATGTTATAGATAAACGCCTATGCATATACATTTGGCTGATTCACTACTTTACTACTTAAAGCGTACAGCGTACGTAAAAAGAGTTGAAATTCTATGAATTACTTTACTTCTAAACAAGTGTGGAGCGTGTGTTTTACAAATTTACCCGAAACAGTATAGTTGTCTACTTTAACCCTCTGCTGTCCCTTCTAGTTTTTAGTCTGTCTGCATAATATTTTTAATCTTGCATATCACCTAAGCCAGCCAGCTAATGCGCTGTTGCTTAATAGCTTGGACACGCTTGCTTTGGCAGCGTCTATATGAACGTCCTCTTAGTCGTATAAATAAATCGTGGGCATTACCGTTACTCGTACGCTATCCTACACTATAAACTTATATTAATGGACACACACACGGATTTACATGTGTAGTTTGGTGTGAGCGCCCGCGCTTTGGCTACAAACTCATAAATCATAATTTGCTGCCACTGGCTTGAGTGCCTGCTGTTTATTATTTTAATATTTTCCACACTATTTTTATTATAATTTCTGTTTGTTACACTCATAATGCTTTTTATGAGTCTCTCGCATTTAATATAGCATGCATATGTATATATATGTGTATATATGTATGAATGTTGGTATGTGTGTATGTATGTATGGCTGTGTGTGCTTAGCTAGGCATTTTGTTTTTATTTTGCGTTTTTAATTTTATTATGAAATGTGGCATTTAATTTATTATGAACACGTATAGCGGATGTGGTAAGAGATGCGAGTCGTCGCGCACACATACACACACTCGCATATATATGCACAATAACGCCCACAAACACACGCGAAAATATTTGAGCATAAAGCCATGGCTGAAGTGGATGGCGCATATACGAATACACATATACACACATATATATATATATATATATACATATATATATGCATGTACATATGTATGTGTGTCTGTATGCTATTATAGGAAGTGGGCGCGCGCAAATTCTAAAAATTACCAAATCAAACCGTTAACCGCACAGCGGATACGACAAAACGTTTTGTGGCAAGAAAACATGCGATAATATGGCATGTATGTATGCATATGTGTGTGTGTAACAGTGTATTTTTGTGGGAAGTCTTTGTGGCCGACTTCGTCAGCAATAAATGTTTACTGCACTTATATATATAATATATATGTATATATTTATAGAGGATATTTATATAGTATATGTGTATGTGCTGCAAGCGCTTTGAATGCCACTTGTGTATGTGGGTGTAGTTTTTGAATACCAGTCGCGCGTTGCACAAACTCACACTCACACAGGCTGTCGCGCGATTTCATGCGCCTCACTGGCGATTTTTCCAAAAAAAAAAAAAAATCCTTGCGTCAATAATTGGTTATTTTTTCAATTAAAGCGCATTTTCGCTGCCACCACGGTATTATGGCATTCTGTGAAACAGTAAATTTACCGTAATTAAATTTGTATTAAATTATGCCAAACACAGACTATCACACATGTACTTCGTTATAAGCGCTATCAACACAATTTATTGCACAATATATGTGTGAAATATGATTACGGCCGTGTAATGATCTGGTAATTGGTGCATTTTAGCATGGCATTAACAACTCTGTATGCGATTAAGCGCGTAAAATCGAATTTGAAATTAAATTTTCGAAAGTTTATTATTGCCACGGCTGGTTTTATTATTATTGTCAAGGTAATGGAAACTGTAGAAATGTTGGATTTTTGCGGTTTTCAAGTAACAGCGTTTTTATATGTGTTACCACGTTGTAAAATCGTACTCTATTTTGAAAACTGCTGTTTTTTTCTTGCTTTTGCTGCCATTAATACTTCCTCTCGTGTGTTTTTCACATTTATATTAAATTGTCATTTTTATTGCAATCACTTTATAATGTACCATTTCTATGCACAGTCAGTTAGCACATTTTATTGCCGCCAATAATTGCTTTGAAACAATTTACACCGTATTTAAATGACTTTGTGTGCTGACAGTTTTTTCTGCAACTGCTTTTTCCTTTACGCAATTATTACTTAGGTGGCAACATCCGGCAGTTAACAAGCCATAATTTCAATAAATATTCAATGCTTTTAAATTAATATATCACTTCCGTTGCTTATTTATAAAGCGCTTACGCCTGCAACGACTTTTTTGCAGGCATTCAACCGTTAGATAATTTTATGCAACAAACAAGTTTGATACCAAGAAAATCAGCCATTAAACTATGATTAAATGCTATAACAAATGCATTCCAGTTCACTGATAAAAAAAAAAATCACATTTTTCATAAATATGCGGCTAACGCCACTCCAAACGCTTTCAATATGTGTTGCAACTAATCACATTACCTACCACTTTTGCCACTTGCACCCAACCATGCATTTTACACCTTTCACCAAGTGAATTATATGCGTTAATATGTTTTGTTGTTTTTATTCTTGTTGTTGTTGTTACAATTTTCGACACAATTTATTCTATATAACGTCACGATTTGATATGATTTGCTAGAGCGGCGGCCCGCGCGCGCCACTTTGTACGTGAAATAACAAAATTCGACTGAAAATCTATAAACATTCGCCACAATGCTGTGTTGGTAGTAGTAGTAGTGGTAGTGGTGGCAGCGGCGGCATTGTATACTACCCATGCGATAGTGTGTCGAGCGGCTGCGGCGACAGCAGCGGATTCTCCCATAGTCATCGTCGCATGGCATACACCAACAGCAACGATTACGATGACTACGGCTACGACGACGACTACGACAAAAACATCTTCGGCAGCGTGGTTGAGTTTTGTATAACAAACGACAAAAAATAATTGAGAAAAAACATTTATGATACAATAACAAGCAAATAACAGCTACAAAAGTGTACAACAAAAACTCTGCTACTAAATTAGTGTTGCCATTTGCCTTTGACCACTTTATGCCGCCAACTGCATTCATATATTTCATATTGTTGCTATTTTTGTTGTCGTTTTCAACAAGTGCGCCGACAACTCTTTAACAGCTCACCTACGCTCTCACCTAGCAGCAAGCGCTCATCATCACTAATTGCCGTCAGCCGCTTTCGTGCGCACTCTTTGCCACTCAACACAACTCATTGTGTTTAGTGTTTTAGCTTTGTTGGTTTCCTAAAAGCTCAGCGGCGCTCCCATACGACCGTACATGCGCAGCAGTAAGCTCTCTTTGTATAAAGTAAATAAAAGCCGTCACACTTGTATTGTACTGTATTTATTTATCTCTTGCTATTAGTTTGAAAACAAGTTATTGCATTGCGCGATTTATTTGCCTTGTGTCATACTCAGCACTGAGAAAAGTCGCGCCGCTGTGGGAGACCAGTGAGCGCCAATATTTATGAGTACCAAAAATGTATCAGATTTGTGCCGGAATAGTAGTAGCATTAAGTGTAATTATCAGACTGCATGGAAAAGTGTAGCAGAGTGGTCGAAATAGTATTTTCTTCGAAGTATAATAGGTTTGATTACCTAACGGTTGTTCGTATCACCTAAAAGTAATCGAGATATATATGAATATATATATAAATATATAAATGATCAGGATGACGAGACGAGTTAAAATTCGAAGGTCTATCTGTGCGATAAAATCGAAGAGAATCCATTTAACATAATAATATGTTTGTGTCTAAAAAATGGGTTGTATCGGATCAATAATTCCTTTAGCCCCCATAAACCTATTAGAAATATTTTCGAACTACCGGCTAACATTTAATCGCATATATCGGCAAATAAGTAAGTTACCTTAGCAAAATTGACTGAACGTATAATATTGGATAAACTATAGTTTAATGCCGAAAATATTTGAAATTGATCCAAAAATTACCCAAAGTACCGTATAATGAATTTCGTTGTTCTAACAAACCTTAAGCACCTGAAGGTATTTCCTTGAGTTTAATCCTGGCAGTTGTAAGATTATGAAATGTTCGGTTACACACGAACTTAGCTCTTCCTTACTTGTTTCAGGCTTCATTTCTTATTCTAAGCCTTTCAGACAGACCCTTAATTTAGTTTGTCAGAGGACCGTCTTACTCTTATGGAGAAATATTCTTAGCTGACTCAAATTTAAGCGCATCAGTGGAGCTAAACAGCAGTATTTTTGGGTTCATTGAGTTCGAAAATACAAGAATATGCCTAAATTTCATTCTTCACTTCACTATAGAGCATTTTCCACTAGTGGATAATGTCGTTTCTTTACACTTTGAAGCCTGGTCGACAATGTACGACTTCATTTGCTGATTTTGCTTAGTTGGAAAGGAAGGTAGATGGTAGAATCTGATCCCAACTGAGATCCAATTAAGTAAGCACCATTCAAAAATGATAAGTTCAGGCGATTCCGCTTTAATAATTTTTAAATATCTTGCCTCAGAGGTTAGTTCCCGTGATGACCTTCACCAAATTACTCAATTTCCACTTTCCTAAAAGTAAAAACCTATTGGTGTAATAATGTTAGCATTTTAGTCACTTAACTAAGAACTTGCTGAACTTAGTTGGAATGCAATGGAATTTTAAAATAGATCTTATATGGTATCAAATTCTTTTTGTAAACTGTATTTTTTATCTAGAAGGAATGGTATTTTTGGATCTATCCTACTTATATGATTCTAATTTTTTCCGTACACTTTTCTTTTTATGAAAATATTTTTACGCGTAATTTCATCGTCTTGCCCGAACCTGATTCTACCTTCTCAAAATATCGCTCGATGCTCGATCTCTCTCGATTTGTTTACATTTTACTCCAACTATGTACATATATTCAGACTATGGTGTTTTCCAATATCAGAATGTTACCCTTGTTTTAGACGTAGTTAACATTCGTCGAATCTACGAATGTCTGGTATATATACATACATTAATAGAATTACTTTACTTTCCCAAATAAAACGCGTTAAGTCTGAATGATCACCTCTAATATAAGTTGCTTTTACTTCTGTACAGCGGTCAATAATGTAGTTATATGAGTATGTAAAAACATATGGCAACTCTTTAAATTGCGAACGTAATTCATATCCCTTACACATAGGCGCTCTCTCTCCCAACAAGTTATAAAGATGACCTTACGGTATACGCGTGTAGACTTGACGTAAACTTTGACACTATGAAATTATAGTGCTACACTTCCCAAGCTTTTACCTATGAATGCCAAAAAGGCGCACGCCTTATGTGTTTCAGATTCGTTCGAATTCTCTGCATAACTTTAAACTTGCTCACTGCGAGTATTTATATATATATATGTATGAGCATGTATTTTGCTTCGCTACGCACTCACTTTGTCGGCCATAATTATTTACACGCCACAACGCCTTCCGCTACGTCAGCCATAACTGCATGAGTATGCATAGGCTTTCCCGTTTGCTCTCTCACATACACTCCTGTTGCTCAGCTCGTTAGCCTTCGTGTATACAACACAATTTCGCTGTGTGGTGGTATAAGCCACGAGCGACAATATGCCGAACGGAAATGCGACGTAATGCCAAATGCATTGCGAGCGCATACTGATACAGTTGATGGTAAACATAAAACAGCTGTTTTCAAGGCTGAGCTTGTGTGTGCGTGTATGTGTATGTGAGAGGACTCGTATAAACTATATATATGTATGTGTAAGTGGCTTGTAAAGTTGAAGCAGCATATGAAAAATTGACGCGAACATGATTAAAAGAATGCGCCATTTTTAAGGCAGAGCGGCAGCCAGAGAGCGACAATGAGCGATGTGTTTGCGTAAGTTAAGTTTCGCTAGCGACATATAGGATACGAGCATGCAAAAGGGTAGGGTGTAAACGTGAAATGAAATTTATGGACTTAAGGCACATGCGTTTTAGTTTCGCAGACATTTCACTTTGTAGTTTTCTTCGTTTTGACTTTCGGCAAAATTTATGTCGACAGGATATGAAAGGACGCTTTATTGCGAGAGCGATAAAATATGATTGAGCCATGAAAATATAAATTATTATACTTAAGTAATGCTTTTCATAATTCGAAAAGGTTGTGTAGTTGTCAGTAAGTGTTATATTAAACGCCTTGAAGTTACAAGTCAGCGAAGTGTTACACCCTTCGAAAGACGCCAGCTTTGGTACTTTGAAATACCTGAATAAAAGTGAATTTCGTAAACTTTAAAAAATGCTGCTGATAGCAAAAGGTGGATGCTGAGTGTTGACAGGTCTCTGCGCTAGTAGAAACAAACATTCGTAAGCCGTTTTTTGATTTCTGTACTGCCTGGAGTTATCCGAATACGCTGCACGCGTAGAAAATCTGCAGCAATCTGTCGGCAAAGTCAAATAATCTACTTTTTCATGTTCCAAAACCTAAAGAGAATGCCTCCTGGAAAAAAGCTTAGCCACAGTGAAGAGTAATGGCAGAAACCGATATCTTTTTGAAATCAGAAACGAATTGTAACTATTGTACATACAAATATGTCATCAAAAAGTAGTAGACCAGTGTATCGCCGGTGATGACATTTATAGAATTGGAAAATCGAAATAAACGAAATAGATTAGTAAACGGCTATAAGCGATGACTAAGTCACGCATAATGTCACTCACTATAACGATTGTCTGTCGGTAGAAAATTCAAAAATTTCAGCAATCATATTTTGAAGAATAATTTCAGACCATGGCTCTCTCCACTCTCATCTCAATATAGCTGTGAAAAACCATATATTTTCTTTCCAGGAATAAAATTTTGAGGCATCGAAACTATTAAAAAACGTATGTTGTTATCACTTACTAAAAATAGATCTCAACGATTATAAAAGTATATAATTTCAAGACCTATGTACAGGTTGGTTGAAATGTTTCTGCGCTCATAATGAAAAAATACTGTTTTTGGCATGAAATATATTTTTTTATTCAATATAAGCTCCCTAACTTCAATACACTTATTCCAATGATCCTCCAATAATTGTATGCCATCGCTATAATGACTTTCCGGTAGCTCTACAAACTACCCGTTTACGTTTGTTTCAGGTTTCTGAAAAGGTAGTAGTCGCATTGTCTTGATGAAAAATGATTGTTTTGTGCTGCAAACCAGGTCTTTTATCACGAACTTTTTCATCCAGCTAATCCAAAAGGCTGCAATAATATTCAGTATTGATTGCTTTACATTTCTGCAGATAATCAAATATGAAAATTCTTTTTCATCCCAAAAAACTAAACGTTCTTGTTTCAATTCAGGATCATGGTACTAGATCTAAGTATCTTCCATAGTTATAAAACGTCGCAAGAAATGGGTTTTATTCTGCTTAAAACACCCCTAATTATGCTGAGAAATTTGTTTTCGATCCAGTTTTTGTTGAACTAACTTTCCAAAAAAGTTTTTTCATGTGTAATTCTCCATGTAAAGTATAAAGTACCCGTTCGTCTGAGATGTTTATGGCATTAGCAATTTCACGCTTAGTCAAACTTGTTTCTTCACTAACAATATTATGAACTTGCTCAATGATTTCTGGTATGGTGGCGGTTTTTGGTAGTCCTTCGCGTGGATCGTCTTCAAGCCTAATACAACCACTTTTAAATTCACCAGCCAATAATTCAACGGTGCGTTTTGAAGGTGAGGACTCCTTATACACTTCTAACAATTGTTCTTAAATGTCCTTTGTTTTTAAACCTTTCAAAGCAGAGAAACTAATCACTGCGCAGTATTAAATTTTTTCCATGTTAAAAAAAGTACCCTGACCCGTCCACTTCAAATGGCTTGTAAACAAATATTTAATTGACAGAATGACTTGTAACTTCGCATATGTTCTCACGACAGATGTACGGACTTGAGTAAAGAAAATTGGTGACTTAGTAGTGTTATTTCTTGGTGAGAAACTTTTCAACCAACCTGTATGTATGGTGCGGAAGCATGGATATTGACGAACAGGGACAAGTATTCTTTAGGAGTGTTAAAGTGAAAAGGGCGATGGGGAGTACCGAGTTCGTTGGAGTGAGGAGCTGTCTGAGCTATTCGACGATATGGGTATAGTGCGGCGCAAAAAAGTACAGCAGCTGCGCTGGCTTGGCTATGTTGCCCGTCTGGAAGAAAACACTCCAGCTTCATGTACCGATGAAGAAAAGAACGATCCAAAAACGACTGGCGAAAGCTTATCGACGCGATGAGCGTATTAAAAGCGTCATTCAAGTAGACATGTTTCAGGAAAGAGTTGTCCTTTATAATATGTAAACTTTGGCCAAAAATTATTATGTCGAAAAAAAACGTGCAGAATATTACAAGTTTTGTGGCAAAAATTAAATAAAAAACTTTTACCTGAGTTGACACCTATCAAAAAATTACTTCAAAGTTTAATTTTTAAAACTGAAAATTAATAATTCAAATTTGTATTAATCAACTTTGGTATTATTTCTTTAAACTCCCTGACAACATTTTAGTTATTTATTAAGAAGACTTTTTCAGGTAGAATTAGGATTGCCAATCTGTTCACAATAAGTTTTTTCAAAATCACTGCAACTAATGCGAATTTAGCTAATTATGTATGTACATACATATGTATTAATGCTGCCCTATTAAATAAAGATGGAAAATTAAAAGCTTAGTGCTATTTTAAAATCAATAACACTGATTTGACTACACTGAAATATTATCCATAAACACTTAATTAAATTCAAAATACGCTTAGCGCATTCGTAATATTTATTTATATGAATTTACGTGTATACCACCGCTCAGCCTCACTACGACGCCGTTGTGCCGTGAAAATCGTTAAATGCAAAATTTATTTGTTTATTTTATGCATTTGACATACCAAAGTCCCACGACGACACTCAATTAACAAAACATTAATTTTTGTGATGTGCCATGATAATTTTATGACTTTTTGTTGTTTCAATGTTTTATTTTATTTTTATGGACACATTGGTTAAGTTTCAAGTTTTTTTTATAGCCATTAACGTTTTCTACTTATACACCAACATATTATATTATATGTATGCATACATACATATATTTTTATCGCATGACACAAATTCAACAAATGTCAAAATTCGAAGTGAGGCATTAAAATATACACACATACACATCTACAAACGAAATTGAATTGCTTGCGGATGACAAAAATTTAAAGTAAGGTGTGTAAATAAACGCTCGAATGACTACATGACATACATATGTAGCTAGTTGTAGCGAGAAATTTGATTTCAATGCTTAGAAATTGTTAAATCACAAAACGGTATTCGTGGAAAACGCCACTTAAAATATGAATATTTCTTTATTAAAGTTACAGTAATCGTAAAAGGTTAACGAAAATATCGCCATTATTGTAAAATTATGCAAGCGAAAATGCTAAAATGGCTTGTTGATTGGCTTTTGAGTTGTATGAAGTAAAGATTCGAATATCTTTGTTGTTGTATATAATTTTATATTATATTTCTCCACTTTCTAGTGATATTATATGCGCTGTGTCTTCATTTGAATATTTATTGATAATTTTTTAGTATATGTCGTTTCGCTTTAATTTAGTTAGACAGACGATATAAGAATACCGAATATGATACCGAAACATAGCTGTGAGTGTGAGTGAAAAATGTATGTTATAACAGGCAACTTGAAGGCTGCAAGAGCTTTGATAGAGAGTGAATGAGTTGCTACTGCTTTAACCCAACATCAAGACTAGAAAAGTAACAACACGACTATTGATGCAATATCCGCATCTTTTGAATAACTGATCATCACTAAGGCACATATTACAATAAAGAAAATTACAGATTTCAGAAAGGTGGTGATGTGATCGCACATTTTGTTACTAAAGTCATGCTCAAATTTTCAAATTCAGCCTTTAATTGTAATGTTAATTACAAGTCAAAAACTTTGTTACCGACATGCGTTCACGTAACTAGCTTACAGCCAAAAACACTACTTGCCAAGTAGTGCATGTAATTCACAACTTCATTTCTTCGGAAGTAATGTGGTGTATTCGGAGAAGCAAATACCACCAGGAGCTTGGCAATCTACTAAAATGCACTTCTGTTCAACA